AGATGATTATATTATATGCAATGTCGCCTGTGGGGCTATCATATTTTGTGAGTTTTTATGTTAAACCATTTTAACAAATTTTATGATCAATTTTTACTACACTTAGAGAGTTTCTTCCCTTATATGTAATCACCACTGGGCATTGATGGAGCGCTTTGTGATAAGTCATAAATGAAGATCTGTTGAGACCTGAAGGCTGTTTGTACCATGAGCGCTTTATGACCATTCCTTATACGGGGGTCATATATATTTTGTACTTCTACATGCACTGTGTGAAGGTGATTCTGGAAGGGTATTTCTCCTTTTTTTTTTCGCAACTGGTGAATGGACATTGCGTCAGGCTTTCTCTGCTTTGTGGTTGCAGTGACATTATATGCTGCTATTTAAATGGGTTTTTTTCCTATATTTACACCAGAATCTTTTGAGTGGGTGGACATTTTGGATTATTAATAATTTCACCAATGTTGGTGGCATTTAAAATGGCTATTTTATGCACAGACAATTGTGTTATATTTATTTGATGTGTTTGTTGATATTTATTTGTTATATTGGTCCCAATATGTAATTATTGTGAATATTGTAATTTAGTACTGCACTTTTTGGATATATTGTATTGGCAGCTCTCTAATTCAATATATCTGGGCTAGGAGCCATTAAATCTTGTGCTGCTTTGCTGAAGATTGGCATAGCAATTTTCCGGGCAGCGCGTGGCAGCCACAAACACAGCATTACTTGTGAGAATGTGACCAGCTAATGTGACGGTGGTGGTGTCCATGTGGAGGGGATCTCTTTACAGCATCTTCATGAGGAAGGGGGGCTAAAAAAGTTATAACATTGTTATGAAACAATACCCAACCTCACAATCTGGTTTTTTTCACCCTACCCTTACCTTTTTGGAGAATGCAGTGTCTTTTAAGGCAGCATTGTTTTTTATAATAAGGAAAAGATGCTGAAAAGCAGTGGAGAAAGAAAACAGATACAGTAATAATGAAAATAAAGGGAAAGGACTTACAGCTCAGGGTATAAATTCAGCCATTTAGCCAAGATCTCTACAGCACCATATTATAGGTATCATGTAATAAATAGATCTCTAGTATTGGTTCAAAATATGGTGATGGTGGTGAGAGACTCAATGAGCAGCAACTCTATGCCTTTTTTTGAAGTGCATTAAATTTCTTCATATTTACTGGATTTGTCTAAAATATAGAAATAAACTAAAAGCCATTCACAGTCACCTCAATCCTCCCCATAGATCCTCCAGTACACTGACTAAAAACATTACAAGGTTACAAACCACTACTAAAAAAAACCTGACTGCTGAGTAATATGCAGATCCACTTACATAGCTATTAGTAAATCATTCCCTTGGGTTAGCATCTCTCTTCCTCCAGAGCCCTTCCTCCATACCCCCCCCCCCCCCCCCATCACAGTAATGCAACACCACTCCCACAAAAGTGCCTTGTCCAGAAGCAGGACAGCTATTCAGACAGAAGGGCTGTGCTTGGAAACAAGTCCCCTGTAACCTCTTGGGTGCCCTCATAGCACCATTTAGGGGCCCCTCCAGGGAATACTCACACCTGCAAAGTTTGCATATATTGTCTTGGTTACACAGCAACAACATAAAAGCTCATTAACATTACTCAGCATCACACACTGCATATTAGACATATACTTTATATGTGTTTGTCAACAATCATATGATATAAACAGTATATCAGCAAAAAAACAGAAGATAAGTATTAATAATAAAGGACCATGAGCTGGTAAGTAAAGGTACTACATAAATATAATTGTATAAGTCTATTAAAAAAAGGAAGCCAGCAAATGTTTGAGGTACCAGAACACTACAACTTCCATTTACAGTATATAAATTCAATAATTTTATTAATAATAATATTTGAAAAGTCATCCTTTAGAGAGTGTGCTACCAAATACAGTCATTATAATGTCTTCATGATGTGCTGATCCCTATCCAGCACCTATTAGCAATATATGTATCATTCTGGTTTTGTGCTGAACTCAAAATAATACATTCAACATTCATCATATACATTGTCTATTAACTAGTAAGGTAGTGCACTAGGGATCTTTTGTTCCTCTAATGGTTTCTTGGATCAGCTCTGCTTCCTCAGTAGGTATTTTATATATTAAACATAGAAAAATATTTTTGTAAATACAACTTGCACAGGGACATCAAAGAGAACCCCAGGAAAACCAATGATTTGTGCAGTTCTGTAACAGTATATAAATTAATTTAAGATATTATTCATATGCTAGGATATTCATAAAAGCAGACTCCTAACAAATCCCAAAGAAAGTGAATAAGGAACTATACCTTATATTAAAGTGTTTAAATATCACCCAACTCTTCTCTATACCTCGGGGTATAGTTTACTCTCATCTTAGCTCCATGTTAAATGAAATAATGACTGATCAACTAACATTTGTACAAGCAACCTCAAATAAAATATATAACCCACCTGCAATGATAGGGTAGCACTGACGCTTCCCACCATCCAGTTAGGGTGGTGGATCAAAGATCAAATTGATTATAGCTGATAGTTATCCCAGCTTGTTCCTCCTCCTAGTTGTAATAATAAATACCATACATCTATTAGGCACTATACATAATAAAGGGTACTGGGAGTTTCATATGTATATTTCTACTAAATCCAATCAGTAGTTCACTTCTAATTGTTATCAGATATTAAAACTGGAATTAATGTATAGCCCTAAATCTCCAATAAGAGTGGTTATAAAGCACACTACCCTATGTGCATTTAGAGGGCCAGCATAGTTCTTAATCAGTTTGACAGTTTTACAAGAAATCCCCCTAAATGTTATCTACTACCCAGTGTCCCTAAGTGCAAGTCCATTAATGGACATATAATCAAATTTGACCATTACCTACCCTAGATATAGTGTGAGATGAAGGGAGAGGGGAAGGATTAAGCACACAGAACAGTACTCTAGTCACCTCCCAATTAATCCCTAATCACACTTTGATACCTGCATAATAAATATGTTTTAATGATAGTTGCAGCAATACCATATATAAATATTAAAACAATTTTCCAAATCCCAGTTATTTACCCTAGTAGCAGATATCAAAAGAGGAGGGGCAGAGAAGCAGAAGAAAATTATCCATGCACATGTCAGTTTCACTCAGAACCAGGGGCGAACTGACAATTTGGAAACTTGGGCACTGTCCGAGGGCCTGGGGTCAGTAGGGGGTCCCATGAGATGCCCCTGGTACCTTTGTCATAGGCTTTTTTGAGTTTGGGCTGCTTTGATTTGCTGTCATGGCGGTCACATGATCGGGAAAGGTCCCGATCGCAAGGGAAGATCGGGACCTTTCCGTGAGGGGCGCACGCTCTCAGCACATATGTGTTTTCAAAGGGTACGCAAATATGCGGCCCCTCGGCATCAAGGACAAGCCGCATATTTGCGTATGGTCGCCGTCAAGCGGTTAAACATAAAAAGTCAAATTCCTCCCCATCAAATCCTTTGCAGAAGAAGGTAACCTATTCAAAATTCATCTTATAATTATTGTCACATTTTTTTGGAATTGGGTAGTTAAATGATCCCACTGGAACCAGAGGTGTTCAGCCATGTCTGTAGAAAAATTTTTACACAATATAAATTAAAAAAAAGAGAACAAATATTATCTTTTCAGAACCTAATTCATACAGTATATTAGAACAATATTTGGTGTCTTACACTTCAAGTAAATATGGACTAGTATAGAATGATATTCCCAAGGTAAGTACCACATTTCTAAAATATTCCAATAAATATTGGTATGTGTATTACAGGATTTTAAAAGTACTTCCAATATCAATACAAGATTTTAGTTAGAAAAGTTTTTCTACAATTTACTTAAACAATCATTTAAAAAGCACATGTTTAAAAGTCCAGTTTCATTGCCCCCCATAAACAAACAAGTATTTAATAAAATTATACAATATACCTCCCATCCCAGATCTCTACAACACCGTATTATGGATATTGTGTAATAAGTGATGTAACAGACAAATAGCCATTATAATTATGATATGTACATATGTACAGTATATTTTAATGTGTAAAGTGAAGTACCTTTAAATCCCAAAATGCACATATCTGTATGTATTGGAATATATTGGGGATGTGGTGCCTACCTTGGGAATAAATGACATACTGTACTATCATTTTTGTTTAGCCAAGTAACTGAAGTATAAGGCACCAAGGGGTTTATTTACTAAAGCCGGAGAGTGCAAAATCAGACTCACTTCTAACCTCGGCTTCTTCAATTAATCTTTGACAATAAAACCTGGAAGCTGACCCCCCCCCCCAAAATGTTGTTCTAATATATGGACTAGGTTCCAGACAGACAATACACATGCTCTGTTTGTTATTGATTTCTTAATTTATACTGTTTAAGAATTTTTCCACAGATATGGCTGAAAACCATGCAGTCCAATGGGATAATTTAATAGTCCTATCCCAAGATAAATGTGCAAATGATGACAAGAATAATTCTGAATTGGCTAAATCTTTTACAGATTTAGAAGAAATTGCTGTTGAAGAAAATTTCAACTTTTTGGTATCTGAAATACTTTGTTTAACCACTAGCCTACAGGGCACTTATACCCCCTTCCTGCCCAGGCCAATTTCCAGCTTTCAGCACTGTCACACTTTGAATGACAATTGCGCGGTCATGCAACACTGTACCCATATAAAATCTTTAGAATTTTTTTGAGACAGATAGAGCTTTCTTTTGGTGGTATGTAATCACCTCTGGGATTTTTATTTTTTCTTAAACAAACCAAAAACCACTGAAAATTTTGAAAAAAAAAAGTTTTTTCTTAGTTTTTGTTATACAATTTTGTAAATAAGTTAAGTTTTTTCTCCTTCACTGATGTGCACTAATGAGGCTGCAGTGATGGGCACTGATAGGCTGCACTGATGGACCCTGATAGGTTGCACTGATGGGCACTGATAAGGAGGCACTGGTAGGTTGCACTGATGGGCATTGACAGGCATCACTGATGGGCACTGAAAGGCAGCACTGATACATGACACTGATACATGACACTGATATATGGCACTGATAGGCGGCACTGATAGGCGGCACTGACTGGCACTGATATGCAGCACTGGCTGGCACTGTTAGGTGGCACTGACTGGCAATTATAGGCGGCACTGACTGGCACTGATGCACACTGATAGGCGACACTGACTGGCACTGATAGGTGGCACTGATTGGCAGCACTGATGTGTGGCACTGATTGGTAGCACTGATAGGTGGCACTGATTGGGATTGATAGGTGGCGCTGACTGGCACTGATGGGGGACATTGAAAGGCAGGTCAGATGGGCACTGATATGTGGCATTGATGTGCACTGGTATGCACTGATATGTGGCATTGATGTGGCACTGATGGGCACTGGCACGTGGCACTGGCACGTGGCACTGATGAGCACTGACAGGTGGCACTTCTGGGGCCACACTGATCATCAGGGCACACTGATCACCAGTGCCCTGATAATCAGTGTACATGTCCCCTCTGTGGAAAGCCGATTACCGGCTCTCCTCTCCTCTCAAGCTGTCAGCGTGACAGCTCGAGAGGAGAGAAATGCTGATAACCGGCATTTCCGTGTTTACATGTGATCAGCTGTGATTGGACACAGCTGATCACATGAGCGAGCCGACATCTTCTGCTCTTTCCATGATCTGCTGTGTCCGAGGGACACAGCGCACCGGCGATTGCCGCGCATGCGCAGTGAGAATGGTAGGACGTCATATGACATCCTATCAGAACGAGAGAACCACCTTGCACCCGTCATTGTACTATAGGGTGGGCGGAAGGTGGTTAAAGGTAAATGATTGCCCATTCGGACTTATGGTCCAAATTTTCCCTAATTTAGGGAATATTGCTTCAGAATTTAAGATTAAATTGTAGAGGAACGTGAATAAATGCTCTCAGGGAATGATGTGCCTTTTGATTGATGAATTTAAAAAAGTGATACAAAAATTTGATGGGGAGATTCAGATGTTGTAGACTGAGAACACAACCCTTGTTTCCCTCAAGAGCTTTTTGGAAAAGATTGTGAGTTAAAAGAACATCTGGAGAAATTTAATGAAAACGTAATTAGAAGAAAAAAGGGTAATAAATTATTACAGGACAGAGCTTCATTCTGTAGTGGGAGAGCACATAAATGCACATACTGTATAAATGGACAATCTCTAATCAGTTAAGAGTATAAAGCTCTGAAATACCCAAGATACAATCTGGGGATGATGGCAATGTTTCAGAATCTTCTCACTATTCTTCTGTTTCTTCTTTTTTGATGTAAATATTTAACCATTTTGCTAACAGGGCCGTTTTTTGCATTTTTTGCACACATATTTAAAAAATCATTTTAGGCCTGAAGATTACATAACAACCACAAACATTATATATTTTCTGAAAGCGGATACCCTAGAGGATAAAATAGTTGTAGTTACATTATTTTATGTAATACAATATTTCTGCTATGGTTTAGGAAATTTCAGTACAGAAAACACACTAAAGTTGATTTTAGGGCACAAAAACGCAAAAAACTTTTGGTAACATATAAAAGATGAGGTATCACTGAGTAAATAGATACCCAACATGACAAATTTTATAATTGTGTGCACACATGAAACAGTGACAAGCTTCAGTATCATATATATTCCCTAAGGACACTCTTTAGGGCTCATTCAGTTAGCAGATTAGTGCCGTCCTCCATGAAGAGCCACTGGCAGATGTGTTTGTACCCACCTTCAAACTACATGCAGGCATTCCACAGAAGTGTACATACATGCAGAGCCAGCATGGGCACAATTGCATGTCAACGTTTGACATGCTCCAGGAGCGGGTGCATAGATCCGAACACAAAGGCTCTGTGTTTAGATCCATGATCCAGAATGTCAAACTTTGACATGTCATTGTATCCGTTCTGGAGTTGCATGTCCATCCACTTGTATGGACTACCTGCACACAGCTCTGAGTTGGATGCACACACATCTAGCAGCAGTTGTGCATGAAGAACAGCACTAATCTGCCATCTGAATGTGTCCTTTAAAGCCCCTACATATCATCAGTTTAGAGTTATCCTTGTATAATTAGCCTAGCATTATTGATAATACTCTGGTATGCACAATGGTATGTAACTTGTTGTACAATCATAGTTTTTATGTGTAGGGGTCCAGATGCATGCATTTACATTCATTCTTGCATGAATGTAGGAGTTGGGAGGGTTAACATTTTTTTTGGAGGGGGGATTTTAAGTGTTTGAATGTAACTTTAATTTTTTTATTCTTTTTAAAGTTTTTTTTTTACTAAACTCTTTTTTTCCACACATAGAGGACAAATAGTCCCCATGTGATTTTTTTTTGGTGGCACATTCTCTTTATTCAGACCACATGGCTAAAATACAGTGACTCCAGGAATTGGAGATTAGTAACAGTAACAGGAAGGGGAGATCAGCGAATAGGAGTGTGTGTTTAAAATCCCCAACGACACCTATATACAGCATGCATCGGTGGCAGTGAAATGGGTAAAGGTGATGGTTTAGTACACACAATGACAATATCACAAAGTGCTCCAATCTTAATAGGGAATCTACCTAAAATTTGCATAACATGGGTACCATTCACATGGTGAGGATGGACATGAAAAGGATAGCTGATAGAGGGTGCTTTAATAACAGAATTTCCATTAGGGGCACTTGATTTCATATCAGAAGAAGGCATCAGAGCACATCAGGAGCTGTAACTAAAATTTCTGAGGCTAATATGGGGACATAATTTGAAGCACTGGTGGTGAACAAGAAAGGAGGCACTATGGAACAATTTGTGTTAGGGTCACACAGGAAAAGATCAATTTAATATAATTGATTTGTCATCCCCCACACTATCTCATTTGGAAAGAGAAGCTCTCACTGTAAGTCTGAGCTTCTGTCTTCATCATAACTCAAACCAGTTTTAAATAATCAATGATCTGCATCTGTTAGCCAGAAACTTCTTTAGGGCACTGTATGATAAAATAATGAAGCCAGTCAGAGGTAGTATCACATTGATGGAAGGACATTTCTAAATGTGTAAAGTACTGGGTGTACCACAATTGATGTAATTCCTTAATGGGCAAAACCTCACCTGTAACTAAGACCTGTATCACTGTACTTTTCAAATGGACCCTGCAATATTTATATTGGTTTGTCCCACATTTGTAGGAACCCTTGTAAGATACCCAGGTTCCATCACCCTTCTCAGAAGACTGAAACAGACTAAGGGATAACAGTGACCCCAAGGTAGGTGCTTTATGACTAGAGAAATTACATCCCTACTTCAAACTTTTCCAAACTGACATATCAGTAAAAAGAATAGGTAGTTTCTTTTAAATAAGTAACTCCCCAAAGGCTGGGCGCTATCTGTGTCATCTAGAACATTTTTTACTACCATGTTGTATATTAGGAGAGTAATCCATTAAATGTGAATTTAGAGGATTCTCCATTACAATCCTGTAGCCCCTCTTAATCAACACTTCAGGGTATGCACATTGTCTCAATTTATCACCAATAATGGAATATTCCTACTGAAAGACTTCTTCGGTTGAACAATTCAGTGTGGCTCTAAGAAACTCCCCATTGGCATAGCCTTTACCAGCTACTAGCCAGGAAGGTAATGTTACAGTACCTGCACACTCTTTACAGAATGTCCTTGTATGCACACAGTCCAACACAGTATCTCTCTCCACAGTAATGTCCAAGAAATCGATTTCCTATCACCCTTATTTGTAAACTGCAAGTTAGATTCATTGTGATTTAACATATTAACAAATTGTGGAATAAAAGCCCATTCCCCCCTCTACACTAGCTGGACTGTTTAAAGGAGTTATATTCCACTAAGATAAATTTCTCCTCCCATATGCCCTTGGCTAAAAAAGGTGAAAATTATACCCCCATCGATGCTCCACATACATTAGTTGGAGAAAGTATCTTCTGTCAGAGTAAAAATAATTGCGCTGAAGCAAAAACTCTATAGCGGGTAATAAAAAATCTTGCAACCTCCTGTCATATGAACTATATTTATACAAGTGTTCTTTCACAAACGCATGAGTGTGGCGGTCATTATGTTTTACTTTATCCTGTTCTAATAAAGTATTGCATGTAACTCTAGGTGCAAGTGCCGGCAATGTGTTTTACTATTGAAGATTTGGCTGACAGAATCCTCCGTGCACCGCCTCTTACAAAGCAGCTTGTCCAGGTTGAGGGTAGATTTGTGTTTTCCATGGAATGATATCCATATTTGTACATGTGATCAAAGACATTGAGAAATCATGTTGGAATAATAGACAAACCACCCAATTTAACCAAGAATCAGTTCAAAGTCTTACCAGAGTTGGAAAATAATAATGCAATTATCATCAAGCAGATGGACAAGAGGGGCAAAATTGTCCTTATGGACTATAGTGATTATATATCTATGTGCCATAACATATTTAAAAATGAAGATTGGTATAAAAAACTTTAAATTGCAGCTGTCAGAAATTAGGATATTATTGATCAGACATTTGGAAAGAATAGATTCTCCAAAAAAACCCCCCCCAAAAACATGGGAATACATCCAAGTTAAATTCCAACCTAAACAGTTAATGTTTTGCTGAAAACTAGATATGTGCGATTTTGTTCATTGAGATTTGTTTTTTGGACAAAAAAAAACAAATTTTCAGAGATTTTAATGCATCTGAATTTCCGACTGGACATAGTAATGAATCTGAAAAAGTTATAACGAAATGTTAGGATTCATTCAGATCATCTGGATCGTTGAGAAGAGCTGGTTATTAAGCAGGGGGTGGCCACCAAGTCCTTAACAACCATGACTCATCTGCTGTCACCAGGATTCCCCGCTGTTAACAGAATGTAAACAAATTAAGTGCTGGTTAAAAATATGTTTAAAAATCAGTGTGGGAGTCCCCCCAAATCTATACCAGGCCCTTTGGGTCTGGTATGGATTTTAAGGGGCACCCCACACCAAAATAAAAAAAGGGTGTGCGGTCCTCCCAAAATCCAGCCCCGCGGCCAAGAAAGGGGGAGATGAGCAAGCACCCCCCTCCTGAACCATATCTGGTCAAATGCCTCATTATAGGGTGCAGCTTTTGGGGAGAGGGACTCCCCCAAAGCACATTGTCTCTATGTTGATGGGAAAAAGGGCCTCTTTTTCACAACCCTGGGCAGTAGTTGTGTGGGTCTGTCGGCAAAGGAGCTTATCAGAATCTGAAGAATCTGGAAGCCCCTTTTAACAAGGAGGCCCCCAGATCCTGCCCCCCCCCCCAAGTAAATGCGTAGGGGGTATATAGTACCTCTACTCATTTACTAAGAAGTGTCAAAAGTAAAAAAAACACAGTTTTTGACTAGTCAGGAGTGGTTCCTGGATCCCTGATGCAATGTGTTTTTATTCTGTATGGTTTAATGATTTATAATAAATTATGTTTTTGAGGTTAGCCTTTTTGGTGTGTAGCCTATTTTCTTCTGTTTTTCCTTGTGGGGAAGAGGTCTTTGTCCAACATGGGGAAAAAATGCTTTGAGGGAGAGCTCCCTCTCCTAAATCACCCCACCATATTA